CAAATGGCTGGTATTAGGAATTCCTATTGGATCCCAGGCAGGGTAGGTTCCTCCTCTTACTTTTTTGATGGCTTCTTGAATACATGAGAGGTGCAGGTCGCCCTTAGCTGTCTTGGTAAAACCTGAGGGCTTCCCTTACTTAACAATCAGAAAACACATACCCTCTTAGCTCGCGTGGTGATTTAAAAGTGTTTTTCCACCAAGCTGGTCCCCACCTCGGGCAAACGAATACAGGCAGGTTTGCACACATGTTTCTGTCTCCCACCCTGCTTGGCAAGATTCGTATCCTCATACAGACGTGTTGCCACCAACTTCCCCCCCCCGCGAGCTTGTGTGCCTCAAACTACCCTTCCCCTCTCGCCAGCCTGCTCACCCCCAACTGCCCCCCCTCCCCCCCGGCCTGCTTGCCCCCAACTGTCCTCCCCTCCTGGCCTGATTGCCCCTAACCGCTTCTGCCTCAGCCCCGCCACCATCGCTTTGTCTGGAAGGACATCCGGAAGGTCTCCTGGAAGCTCTCCCAGTCTAATTAGCATATTACCCTTTTATTAGTATAGATTATTATTAGAGGAATTAGATTAGAATGCTAGGCATTTCAAGCTATTGGAGTAGAGCCAAGGAGAAGGACTATTATAAAAATTACGGAAAAAGAACCCACTGAATGGATGAACATATTTGCCATTGATACCTCTGATAAGGGGTAAATATCCAAAATTTATAAAGAACTTACAAAGCTCAACACCAAAAAACCCAAACAATCCAATTTAAAAATGGGCAAAAGATGTAAATAAACACTTCTCCAATGAGGACATACAGATGGCCAATAGGCATATGAAAAGATGTTCAACATCACTATCATCAGAGAGATGCAAATTAAAACTGCAATGAGATATCACCTCACACCTGTTAGAATGGCTACCATTAATAAATCAACAAACAACAAATGTTGACCAGGATGTGAGGATGTGGAGAAAAGGGAACCCTTGTGCACTGTTAGTGGGAATGCAAACTGGTGCTGTTAACAGTATGAGTTTCCTTAAAAAATTAAAAATGGAACTGCCTTTTGACTCAGTGTTCCCACTGCTGGGAATATATCCTAAGAATCCTGCAACAACAATCAGAAAAAATATATGCACCCCTATGTTCATTGCAGCATTATTTACAATAGCCAAGTTTTGGAAGCAGCCCAACTGTCCTTGAGTAGATGAGTGGATAAAAAAAGCTGTGGTACATTTACACAATGGAATACTACTCTGCCGTAAAAAGGAAGAAAATTTTAATCTTTGCAACAGCATGGATGGATCTGGACAACTTTATGCTAAGTGAAATAAGGCAGTCAGAGAAAGACAAGTACTGTATGATTTCACTCATATGTGGAATCTAATGAACAAACTGGACTACCAAGCAAAATAGAGAAAACTCACAGATAGAGAGCAGGCAGACAGCTCTGGTGTGTGAGGAGGTGCTGGGCGGGGGTCGGGGGGGGGCGGGAAATGTGGAGAGGGAGGTGGAGGGATTGAACAAAAAAGAAAGAGAGAGAACTCATGGACATGGACTACAGTGTAGTGAATGGGGTGGAGGGAGTGGAGGTGGAAGAGGGCATAGAGGGGATAAAAGGTGGTGAAAAAATAAAATAAAAATAAACAATTATAAATAACCCCCCAAAAAGGTATGGAGGGCCGTTGCTTCTTTGTGGCTGTGAATGTGTAGGGCAAATATCTGGTGGTGGGCCTGTGGTTGCTGTTGCTCAGAAGATGGGCAGTTGGGAGGAGGAGCTGGATATGGAACAGGGAAGAGGATGCAGAGCAGGGAAGAAACAGAGTGAGAACAAACTTGAAGCCTCTACCACAGAGGTTGTATTAAAAAAGAAGGCATGACATAGTGTTCTAGGAAATGAATTGCGGAAATATAGGATTGTTTGACAGGACAGATGGCCCTTGAAGCTAGTGGTCATGAGTTTAAAGTATTACCAGGTAGCATGGTGAATTTTTTCTCCAGTTACAGGCTTCAGGTTAAGGCATGGAATGGTTAGGGTTGGGATTTTGCCAAGTTAGTAAAGAGAGAGAGGTGCAAAAAAGTTGAGTAATTGAAGTATTGACTATGGAATCTGTGTTTTGTTAGGAGGCAAGTAAGAACTGGGGCTGATTGAAATAGTAAAACGTTGATAGGATCAGGATGTAGGTCCTGATGGAATGAAAAGAGTTGTTGAAGTCAGGAGTGGTGATTGGAGAGTGAAATACTTGGAAATGAAATTATGAAAGGGATAACCTTATTGATAAAGTCTATGACAATAGAAGTGGGTGATGGCAATAGGAAGAAGGACAGGATATTGGAGGAGGAGAGATCAATTCCGAAGAGTGAGCAGAGTTTTAATATTGTCTGTATTGGTATTAAATTCACCAATAATTATTAGTGGGGTAATATTGGAGATAGTGATAGTGAACAAGGTAATAATATTTTTTCAATGTAAGGGAAGTAACCAGCATCTATATATGCAACCAGGAGTGGTGGGAGGTGATAAAGTCCAATAGCATAAGCTTTGAAGCCAGAGCTTTTAAGGGGAAGGATTTACAGTGAAAGAAGGCAATACAGTAATTTTGAAAAGGCAGTGAGGATGGACTTGGACAGCTTCCCCACCCCTCGGTGTGGTGGATGAGGGTTATAGGAGAGAAAACTACCATTTGAGAGGGCTGCAGGGGAATCTCAGGGGAGAGCCAGGTTTTAGAGAAAAGATGGGACGCTTCAGAGAAGAGTTAGGATGGAAGGAATTTTGCTGGAGAACATGGTGGAGGGGTTTGGGATTTGTGGAAGAGTAGAAGCTGGACTCAGATCAGGTGCTGTACCCAAATGCATGGTGGTGAGTAATGACCAGGATATGTTAGGGTTTTTTTTGGGTAGTGACTGAGGTAAATAATCATTGATTTAGAAGAATGTGAGCCCTAGCCCCGTGGTCGGCAAACTGTGGCTTGCGAGCCACATGCGGCTCTTTGGCCCCTTGAGTGTGGCTCTTCCTAAGCCTTAGGAGTACCCTAATTAAGTTAATAACAATATACCTACCTATATAGTTTAAGTTAAAAAAATTTGGCTCTCAAAAGAAATTTCAATCGTTGTACTGTTGATATTTGGCTCTGTTGACTAATGAGTTTGCCGACCACTGCCCTAGCCAGTTTGGCTAGGTGGTTAGAGCATCAGCCCATGAACTGAAGGGTCACTGTTTCCAGTCCATTCAAGGTCACATACCTCAGTTGTAGGCTCCATCCCCGCTTGGGGGAGGAAGCAGTCGAGACACACTGATGTTTCTCTCTCTCAATCTCTCTAAAAATCAGTGGGGAAAAAG